AATCATGATGCACTGGTGATGATTCCTGTCTGTGCATTTCCCATCCTTCCCTCTCAGCGACTGCTCTATAAATTCTAGATGTTTGTTTTCTCTCCTTTCCCCCAATCTGCTTGGCCCTCATTCCTCCTGAATTCAGTGGGGTCACAACCTCCCCCAATTTGATGCTGTGTGTCAGCCTGAGAACAGCACGAAGGAAGAGACCCGCACTTCGTGTTGGGGAGCCTACGTGCATAGTTTGTCCTCAGCGTGTGAGGGAGGGATGCTTGCTCTGCCCCAGTGATGACATAAACAGCAACAGTGATTTGGAGCCTGCTGTGCACCAAGCACCAAGTTCCATGATTTGGACACTTCATCTCTCTCATTTTATCATATTGAGGGAAGGAAAGCATTGTTGGAGTAATGGTTTTCCATTTTGAGTCTTCACATTTTTGGAGGTCTTCTCCTATGATTTGCTTTTGGTGACTGAACCAAATGATGGGTCTAAGGATACAAATTAAAGAAAGAAGAGAAAGGGGATCTGTACTTCTCCTTCTAAGATAAGAAATATGGAAAGTGTTGGGGCAAATATGTGAGAGAGGGAAGAGGAAGTGGTGGCAGGTTTGAGGGATGAGGAGGAACAGGTAGAAAACACGATTGCTGGCAGTTGACAGGGAGCTAGGGGAGATGACGGGCTTGGTGGCTGGTGAAGAAATTTAGGGGAAAAGCAGGGACATAAGCTGGCGTTTTATAAGGTTAATAAGGTTTCCATAAAGTACCTGATATAAATTGCCTTTCCTGACTCCCTTGAAATCCTCAGTAAAAATCTGTTGCACTTTCATGGGTTGTGGAGCCAGACAGATTTGGGGTGGGGGAAGGGGCTGGGCCTGCTTCAAGGAAGGTGCTCAGGCAGAGTCACTAGCCCCTTTGGGTTACAACCCATTTTTAAATGAGGTTTGGTGCTTGCCCAGAATCAAGAAGTCAGCTAGGTTCAGGGATGCAGAATGGGGTCGGCCAAGTGAGTCCTCTGTGGCAGTGGGTCTCCAACCTGAGGGCACATCAGAATCACCTGGAAAACTGGTTAAGTCAGGATGCTCGGCCCCACCTCAGAGTGTGTCATTCAGCAGGTCTGGGGGAAGGACGACTCTAGAATCTGCATTTCTAGCAAGCTCCCAGGTGATGGTACAGCTGAGGATGACACTTTGCGAACCACTGCTCTAAAGAATCCTTAACTCAAAGACAAAGCCACATATTTGAGTTAGAGACATAAGTAACATATTCTCTCTCTCTCTGTCTCTCTCTCCTCCCTCCCTCCTTCCTTCCTTTCTTTTTAATAGTTATGAAGATAACAGTTTCCCATTTTTTTGATCATTTAACATCAGCTAGGTTGTTTTTTAAAAAATAATTTTATTGAAATGCACTTCACGTACCATAGAACACACCCACATAAAGATACGTGTAATCATCATCACAGTCAATTTAGAACATTTTCATCACCTCCAAAAGAAACCTGTGCCCTTTAACACCTCTCTTTCCTCCCTTCCTTCCAGTCCTAAGACACCACTAATCTACTGCCTGTATAGATTTGCCTTATCTGGACGTTTCATGTACATGGAATCCTGTGATATTTACCCTTTTGTGTCTGGCTTCTTTCATCTTAGCATGCTTTCAAGGTTTATCCATGTTGTAGTATGTATCACTAATTTCATTCCTTTTTATGGTTGAATATGTTGCATTGTTTGGATACACCACATTTTGTTTATCCATTCATCTGCTGATACTTTTTTCTGGTTGTTGCCACATTTTGGCTCTCATGAATATTTTGCTATAAACATTCATGTACAAGTTTTTGGGTGAACCAATGTTTTCATTTTGGCGGGTATATACCCAGGAGTAGAATGGATGGACCATATGGTAACTCTATATTTAAGCATGTGAGGAACTGCTAGACACTTTTCCAAAGTGGCTGAACCATTCAAAGTTGGTGATTCCAATTGAACAGTTTCTCAACCGATGCTTTTCTCTGTTCCCAAACACGTTAAACAAAAATTGAAATTATAATATCATCCTAACTACTGATTACTGAGTGGATCCATGTGCCAGGCACCATGCTAAGCCCTTCACAAACATTGTTTTACTCCAGTCTCTTAATGTGTTAGAAGCCCTGTGCTTTTTCTTTCCTACAAGGTAGGCACAGAGAGTGGATGTGACCTACCTAAGGACACACAGAATTACATGTGAGCCAATTTCCTCACACCCACTCCAACAGTGTTAACATACGTGAAAATTTTTTTGCACGTCCAATTGGATGGGCAGAAATATCACCTCGCAGTTACCTTCATTTACCCTCATTCTTCTGAATTAATTTACTCAACAAATATTTGAGAGCATACTATATGCTTTGTGGACATACAGCAGTGGACAAAATGGACCAAGAGTCCCTGACCTTCTCAAAGGAACATTCCAGTGGGTGGAGACAGACAGTATCCAACAAGCAGATATGGCAGGTGGTAATAAGCATATGAGAGACAAGGGAAAGCAGATCAAGGCAGAAAAGACAGGTCAGAAGTGTTTCTATAGTTTTCTGTAGTATGGTCACGGAAGGGCTCTGTGATATTTGAGTAGAAACGTCTCGAGGGTAAGAAAGACCGTAGGAGAATGAAGTGTGTGTGTTTGTGTGTGTGTGTGTGTGTGTGGTGTGAGGGTGGGGGAGCAGGAGAGGGGAAGAGAGAGAGAGTGGAAGAGGAAAAGAGAAAAAGAGCAAGAGAAAGACAAAGGGAAGGAGCAAAAGAGGGACAGACCAAGGGAGGGAGAAATAGAGTGAAAGGATGATAATGTCGACATGAATATCCAAGGATTTGGGCACATTCAGTTTGAGGTGCCTCCAAGATACCTACCTGGAGATACTGAGTAGGCAGTCGAAAGGGATAAAGATAGGAATTTTGGGATCACTTGTGTGCGCAAGGTACATAAAGCCATGATATTTGAGGGTAGCCCCAAAGAGAGAGGACACTGATGAAGTCCAAGGATTGAATGGCTTTAATGGCTGCCTTGTGATCCATGAATGAATGAACCAACATTTGTTTAACAGTCCTTTATTAATAAATAAATAATGTGATGTATTGTCACAGCTCTGAACATCTTATTATTTACATAGATGCAGAATGTATCTCTAAGATGTCCATCTAATTAGGTGGAAAAATAAGAGGCAAGATTTAAACCCAGGTTAGCCTGACCTCAACACAGCCTCCCACACACTGTTTCCCACTTCTCTGGGGGCACTAAAGTTTCTCACAGTAAACGTTATAAGCCAACATTCTGGTTTGTTCACTATGATTGGGATTATATTGGTCCACCCAAGAAATATCTGTTAATCAATTATATCTTCCAAGTGCCATGTTGGCACTGGGTGTGATGGTGAGCAAAATGGACAGACTTCCTGACCTCAGGAAATGACAGCTGAAGGAATAAGCTAGCATAAGACATGGGGTGCCGGACCTATTGTGGATCCCCAGTAATACTCCAGCTTCTCTTTCCATTTGGATGTTAGTAGGAGCAGAGGCCAAGTTTGCCTTTAATGAAAAAAATGAAAGAGTTTAGTTGTATTCTTGTCCAGACAGGATTTGCTGTCAGAGGAGGGGAGCATCTTGACTCACTGTGAGTTAGTGTGATTAATTTATTGCTTATGTGTTTTAATTATGTTCGTTGTTGTACACCACAGTATCACCATCAACTAGTGTCCAGTAAGTCTTATAAATTGCTATTTTAAAATAAATGGATTAATTCACATCCCGAAACAATATACATTTGTCAAGAAAACTTTTTAATTGAGTAATAATTGACATATAACAATGTGTAACTTTAAGATAAATAAAATGCT